AAGACCAGAACATCTCCTCACCAGTAATCATCACCCAGATAAACAGAGATTAACACCAAGATTAACACAAGACAAACAATCAAACAGCAAACAGCCGCCTAATCAAGGAACTACCAAGGAGAAAACAACATCTCCACCAACACTGATAGGGCAAACTACTGAATATAAACAGAAATCAAACCCCACTCACTTATAGCACTGAAGATGTTACCTAGCCAGGTAACGAAACGTCAAGAAAACAACCAAGCTCAGAGAACCCCAAGGACTCTGCAGTTCAACCCTGAGCTACACCTATTCTCTTCTATCAGTATACATCTTATTGTTGCAGTCTAATCCATTCTGTCTCCCTGTCCCCAGTCTTTCTAGGAGGTCTAATCCCTGTAGAAGGGCAAAGCTGCTAGGCTTCAGGGCTCTCATAGGGGAGTTCATAAAGATCTATTTAGGACTCCTCTCTTTTAGCTTGCTCAAGATTCTCAAAATGTTCAATGGTGCAAAGCCCTTTTTGTCTTGTTTCTCCATATCTTTTATAATTAGGAAATCACCTGCATATACAAATTGCATTTTAAGCTAAGCACACCAAGCTTTGCACACCAAGGATTCCAGGTTCCATAGTCAGTGTTCTGATTTTAAGATCTCTGATATCAAATACCGCCAGAGACCATAGAGAGCTGTTGCTAGTCATTGTAGAAAAAACTGTGCTATATAGGCAAGTAAAAAATCCGAGCTGCTGTAGGGCAGGTTTCCACATTCCCATAACTATTGCTTTCATCTGGGGCAGCCTTGCTCAAACTTTTGACTCTGCCTTGTGCAACCAAATCATCACATGACCGCTTCGCTTAGTGATTACTATCCTGGTGCTGCTGGCTGTCATTGTGGGTTGTTAGGTGATGCAACTTCCTGCTGGCTTCCCACAATGAAGTCAGTGGGGAAGCCGGCAGGAAGTTGCAAGCCCCAGGCACTGCCAGGTGGGTGGGGGAGCGAGAGGGTGTGTGGGAGGGTCAGGGAGGGTGTGCAGGGGTGTGGTGCGGGTCAGGCATGTGAGGGCCTCAGAGCCACTTGGATTTTCAGCCCCAGAGGCAGGGTGAGGCTTTTGGCTTTTGCCTCACACTGCAAAAAAAAAAAAGCTAAAAGACCAGCCCCACCCAGGAGTGCAGTGCAAAGGGGCTTTTTGACACGCCACAGCTCTGGGGCTGCTTTTGGGGGTTTTTTTCCACAGCCAAAGCCCGGCTCAGCAGCCAGGCCAGGCACACAGCAGGAGCAAAAAGTCGGCGCAGGCCAGCTGGGGCAGCAGAATGCAGGGTGGTAGGGGGGCAAACGGGCAT